TGCTGAAGCTGTTTGTCCTGATGATGTCGATGGAATTGACACTTCTACTAAAATACCTGAAAGAGCGTGTTGTGTGTTCGGTCGTTTCAATAACATTGTGAAAATACAAGCCTGGAACAGAACCGTGTGTAAACTTCCCAAACCTTTAACACACACTGACTGCCCCATTTTTGGGGCCGTAAGGACTATCGAGCTCATGGTAGAGCTGCGGAACAAGATGTGCGTCGAAAGTGGATAGAATGCATCAATCGAGATGGTTTTAAGAAAGCAGTGGTAAGTTTAGCTTTGATTATTACAGCAGAGAAAACCACCGGTTGCTGTTTGTAAGTGACATGTAAAATGTAAAAAGTTACTGCTACATTTGTTATTTTATCGGTCCTCTCTATGTTCAATCATTCTGCTGATTTGTGCTCGTCAAATAAGACCAAGGAGTTTTGTTCAAATAGTGGAGAGTGCGGTTCTTTCCTCAATTTTGGGAAATCTTCTTTTATACCTTTAGTCTGAGATGCCAAGACGTAAATTTCTTAGTCCATAGATATATATTTGGCTCTGGACACTGCAATAACAAGCAAAAGTCATACCAAAACATCCATTACATGTGTTTGAGTGTTGTAAGAGACGTAGGCCTCATCTCAATGACCAAAACTAATTTTTGAGCACATTCTGACTTTTTGCAATAATATTCTCCAATGGGACGAAGCCATTTAGTCTTTTTTCATATCTGTTGCTTTAGTTTCTCATTCCAAAGGAGACATTTCTTGCATCTTTTTAAAACAAAATCATCTTTCTTTATCCCTTTGGCAGTTTTTAGCAGATACTACAAACCAGCTCTGGCCGTCCTCCATCTTTGTACTTGCGTTTTTTGCGACTAAACTTTTCTGCGGTCACAAACACAAGGAGTTGAGGGACTTTGTGACAGAATCTTTTGGCAGGACGTGTTTGCGAACAGCAGAGCCGGCAGCTGCTGCTCGGACAGACTTCACACTTCCTCCGTGTTATTTACACCAGACAGACGTTTCATTATTACAGCAGCGGAGAAAGTGGACTGGAACAGGCTAATGAAGAGAAAGTGACACTGTTAGCTATGCTGCTATTTATGGACTCTGCTTAATGACTGATATCTGGGACTTTCAGCATAAGAGACCCGGTGTTTCCAGTCCAGAATATGTCTTTTACATTAAATATATTTAATCTATCCATCCATCCATCCATTTTCTACCCTTTAATCCATTTCTGGGTCAGGGGGGTGACAGTCAGAGATGCCACCCAAGTCTCATAGCACCAGCCCCTCACTGACCCTCTGCAGGTGGTGAGTCCACAGGAGGACGGCTGCTCTCTGAGTGTGGGCATAGCCTTGATCTTTCTTGATCTTGATATTTAATCTATGTGGTATATTTTTATTTTTACACTATCTACTGTATTATGTTAGAAAAATCCAGAAACCTGATGACTAGTCTCCAGCCTGAAACCCTGGACTCCCTGGACTTGTGGACTAGTCTCCAGCCTGAAACCCTGGACTCCCTGGACCTAAGGACTAGGGACATTGGTCATCTGCCCCTTATGGCAGAGAGATTTACAAATGTATTTCTTACTCCCTCACTGTAATTATTATTTGTGAATGTATTTCAATAATAACAAATCAAACAGATGACAAAGTACTGCTATGCATATGCTTTATTTAATTATATCAGCCTAGAATTTAGGAGCTATGTCCCAAAACTAGTAGAGGGCCGACACTGAAAACACATCTTCAAGAAAGCCACAAGGACCTCCTCAAAAATGGTTCAAAGTGTTGTTAAAGGACTTGGAACATCTTCAAGAAAGCAACGTATGTCTCCTCAAAAATAATTCAAAGTTCTGTAAAAACACTGGGAACATATCTTCAAGAAAGCAACGTGTGTCTCCTCAAAAATGGTCTCTGGTGCTGGTCCTCTGGGGTGGGCCTCTGGGGTGGGCCTCTGGCTTGGGCCTCTGGGTTGGGCCTCTGGGGTGGGCCTCCTTAGAAGGTGAAGGCTCTCCTCATCCTGGAGAAGAGCCGTGACAGCGCAGACTTGGGACGCTTCTGGAAAGATCTCAGCTCAGCGTTTATATGTTTCGCTGCAGCTGCTTCAAATGCAGCTGTGTCGTCCTCCACAGCCGCCCTCAGGACTGCGGCTGCCGATCCATAATCCACCATGAGATGTTTGGCGGCTGCTTTACCAATTTTCTCTGAGTTCTTCATCTTCATCTGAGAGTTTTCATCTAACTCCAGCTGCTGCTTGATTCCGTGATGCAGACGGACTCCCATCAGACTGGCTTTACGGTGGTCTTTGGATCCAGCCAGTTTGAACAGTTTTTCGGTGAGTGCGTTGGTGATGAAGTAGGACTCTCTTATGAAAGTTGGAGAAATCCTACTTGGTTCAGTAGACGTGTCCGATGACTCAACGACATCCTCGGTGATAATATCAGGTTGTGACGTAGCCCTAACCGTGTCCTTGACCACTGTCTCTTGAGCCCTCAGAGTCAAGTCTTCTAAAGGACTTGTCGGACCATTTTCATCTGTGGTTCCAACAGTTTCTTCAAAGTCTGTGGTGTGGTCATCTTCAGACTGATCAAGGACCTTGTGAACTGTTACCTCCTTGTTTTCTGTCAGTGCGACTTCTGGTGACTGTTCCTGGTCCCTCAGAAGTGCAACACCATCAGTGGAAGTGTCTTCGGAGGTTTCTAGATACACAAACTGTTCGGGAGGTGTCTGAACCTCCTCCTCGATGTTTTCTAAGAAAACCTCTGCTGCTTCAACCTGAGCAGCAGCAGAAGACAAAACAGATGTGTCGTCTGTTGGAGACTGGATCTCTTCTGTCTGAAAGAAGTCTTCAGCAACAGAACATCCCTGGTCCTGTTGTGACTCAGCAACCTCCTCCTGAACGTCAGTCTCCGTCTCTTGAGTTGTGCTGGCGTCGTGGGGAACATCACTAACCGTTACCTCCTCACTTACAGTCTTAGTGAGTACTGGTGACTGTTCCTGTTCCCTCAGAAGTTCTGCCTGATCAACACCATCAGTAGAAGTGTCTTCAGGGGATTCCACATACACAAACTCCTCAAGAGGTGTCTGAACCTCCTCCTCAATGGCATCCAGAAAAACCTCTGCTACTTCGTCTTGGGCAGCAGCAGCAGAAGACAAAACAGATGTGTCCTCTGTTTGGGACTGGATCGCCTCGGTCTGGATGGAGTCTTCAGCAATAGCACATGCTCGGTCCTGTTGTGACTTGTCGACCTCTTCAGTCTCGGTCTCTTGAGTTGTGCTGACATCGTGGGGAACATCACTAACCGTTACCTCCTCACTTACAGACTGTGTGAGTACTGGTGACTGTTCCTGGTCCCTCAGAAGTTCTGCCTGATCAACACCATCAGTAGCAGTGTCTTCAGGGGACTCCACAAACACAAACTCCTCTGGAGGTGTCTGAACCTCGTCCTCAGTGTCATCCAGAAAAACCTCTGCTGCTTCATCTTGAGCAGCAGAAGAAGAAAAAACAGATGTCTCCTCTGTTGGGGACTGGGTCTCCTCTGTCTGCATGGAGTCGTCTTGAGCTACAGAACATTCCTGGTCCTGTTGTGTCTCATCAACCTCGGGGACCTCCTCAAGAACATCAGTCTCTATCTGCTGAGATGTGATGTCTTCTTTGGGTCTTGGCTCTGGCTCCTTGACTACAAAGTTGTACCCAAACGAGTTGAGAAACTTTTGAGGCCGCATTCCTTTTAGCGTTCTTCTTGTCCAAGCCGAGTCCCACCGCAGTCACGTCCGCCGCCTGCTTTCCATACCATACTTCATAAGCTATGCTCAAAGGGACCCGCAGACCATCATCTTTTGTAGCGTGATGTCGATCTTTAGAGGCAAAAACATGGTGGATTCGTCATTACTTTCCATCTCTATAGAATAAGCTAACGTCGAAAGGCTTATTGTGATGTAGTTTAGTATCAACAGTATCTCGACCGAAAACCCAGTCTCGAATCGAGTAAATGGACTCTCATCAGGGTTTCATCTCCTGAACATCTAGGTCTGTAGGTGTTATCAGGCAATGACATCACTATTGAATGTCATGATAGAAACAGTTACCATGGTAATATGATGCCATCGAACGATGGAACTCATTCAGAATTCCAGAACCCAGTGTGTTCAAAATGTATAGTGAACCAAATTTACACCATTACTATAGTACCTTTAACAATATTACGGTTTTAATTCAACAAAATCAAGTATTGGAACGTTAAAGAGAATCAGGAAAATTACACACTTTTCTCCCTAAGTGTGTAAAAATATTGATATCTACAAATATACAGTGATTTTTTTCCAATTTACTTTCATCTTGATCAGTGATTTTGTCAACAATCCCAAGACACAAATACTTCAGTTCAAGCTCACTATAGTACAGTTTTTCTCTATTGCTTAAAAACACATTTCACGATACTGGCCCTCCCTTTTCCTACAAACTCTAAACACAAACCTCTTTTCTAAAGCTACCTACACTCAACAACACAGTCCTTTACAAAACCACCCCTCACACCAAAACAGTTTCTCATATTCCTCACAACCAACTCCATCACACAAAACATCTTCTCATATTCAGCAAACCAACACACACACCAAAATGCCTCTCATTGTCTGCAAAATGTGAACACTATATATCATCATTAACCACAAACTCTACCAAAACAATTGAAAACACAATTTTTCAGAATGTGACCACATGTTCGCTTCTTACAGTTTCACAACTGCCAGGATGCCATTTGAGCAACACTGTTTTTATTCATCATATATGTTTGGGGCAATTTACTATAGATTTGCGCGTATCATGGGAATAGTTACATACCTGCAGAAAAATGCAGTTAATATCAAAACTCAATGGCAAACATGGGCACAGTAAATATAGAGGTTTCCATTAGGACAACAATAGACATGACTGTGGTCAATGACTGTAGCTCGTTAGTTCATCTGTAATGGAAATGCGTTGTCTTGCCCGCCCTCACTTCTCTCCCTCCTCGGACCGGCGGCCTCTCATCTCCCTCCTCTGGCCTTTGCTCCTCTCTCGCCTCTGCCTCTGCTCCCTCTCCCTCACTCGGCCTGCTCCTCCTCTCTCTGCCTGCTCCTCTCCCTCCTCGGCCTGCTCCTCTCCCTCCTCGGCCAGCTCCTCTCTCTCCTCCTTCCGCCTGCTCCTCCCTCTCACTCGGCCTGCTCCTCTCCCTCCTCGGCCTGCTCCTCTCCCTCCTCGGACCTGCTTCTCCCCCCTCGGCTTCATCCTCTCTCTCCTCTGCCTGCACCTCCCTCCCTCCTCGGCCTGCTCCTCTCCCTCCTCGGCCTGCTCCTCTCTCGCCTCTTGCCTGCTCCTCTCCCTCTCTCGGCCTGCTCACGCCTCCCTCCTCAACCTGCTCCTCTCCCTCCTCGGGGCCTGCTCCTCTCTCTCCTCGGCCTGCTCCTCTCCTCCCTCCTCGCCTGCACCTCTCCCTCCTCGCCCTGCTTTCCACTCCCTCCTCGGGCTGCTCCCTCTCCCTCCTCGGCCTTGCTCCTCTGCTCTCCTCTGACCTGGCTCCTCTCCCTCCTCGGCCTGCTCATCTCTCTCCTCGGCCTGCTCCTCTCTCTCCTCGGCCTGCTCCTCTCTCTCCTCCTGCTGCCACCTGCTCCACTCCTCGGCCTGCACCTCTCTCCTCGGCCTGCTCCTCTCTCTCCGCGTGCCTGCTCCTCTCCTCCTCGGCCTGCTCCTCTCCATCCTCTCGCCTGCTCCTCTCCCTCCTCAGCCCTGCTCACCTCTCCCTCCTCGGCCTGCTCCTCTCTCTCCTCGGGGCCTGTCTCCTCTCTCTCCTCGGGCCTGCTCCTCTCCTCTCACTCGGCCTGCTCCTCTCCCCTCCCTCGGCCTGCTCCTCTCTCTCCTCGGCCTGCCTTCTCCTCCGGCCTGCTCCTCTCCCTCCATCGGCCTGCTCCTCTCCCTCCTCGGACTGCCCCTCTCTCTCCTCGCCTGCTCCTCTCTCTCCTCGGCCTGCTCCTCGCTTCCTCGGCCTGCTCCTCCCCTCCTCGCCTGCTCCCTCTTCCCTCCTTGTGCCTGCTCTCTCTCATCCTCGGGCCTGCTCCTCTCCCTCCTCGGCCTGCTCCTCTCCCTCCTCGGCCTGCTCCTCTCCTCCACTGCCTGCTCCTCTCTTCGACGCGAACGTCCTCTGCTTCTGCCTTGAATTATCGATTTTCATGTTTTGAACCTTCATCAAAAACTGCGCACTGACTTATAAAGGTGTAGGTCACATCATTATGCAGCAGGAGTTTTTCAGCTCCTGAGTGGTTGTTGTTTATCCCTGAATGACACCAGTCTGTTCTTTGTGTTCAGGTTTTGGCTGGACAGTAGGGAGAACATTTTTTCATCACATGAGCCTCACGAGGGAAAAATGAATAAGGAGCAGAGATACATGCAAAAAAGTGTTTTAGCAAAGGAAAAATGTGTTTTAGCAAAAGAAAAATGTGTTTAGAAAAACCCCGGCTGTGGGTCCCCCCCGCCTACATCCACTCCATCTAGGGAAAATGAGGACGACCTTTCCCTTTGTTTTCTATCACCGCCTTCACTACTGGAATATACCGGAACAACTCTGAGTCCTGCTGCATGATAAAATCGGCGGATGCAGACTATTCCTCTCACTACCCACTGTAGCCAGATCCAAGAGTTCCTATCTAACATTCAAAACTACTCCCCCATCAACCGTACATCCAAAGAAGCCACCTATGGCGTCCAACTCAAATATCACCCACAAAAATCCACCCGTCCCTCCCTCTAACCCCATAATATGCCACCCCCCCCTCCTGCTCCTTTTAGCCCAACCTCGCCCCCTAACCGCCAGCACCAAGAAACCCTCCACCTCCACTTCCCCTCTCGTTCCACCACCCACTCAGCCCTGGCCCCTCCCCTAACCATCACCAAAAACCCACCAACCTTCAACCCCCCCCCCGGACGTTTCCAACTCCCAAGAACCACCCCCTCTCCATCCTCTTCCCCCGCCGTCCCCTTCCCCCTTTTTCTCTAAACACTAGGATGCACAGGGTCTCTGCTTCGCAGCCACTGGCAGTCTAGTTAGAGGAGAGACCCGGCTGGGGCCCTGTCATGATAGCCACCTGTGCCATTCCCTTAGTGATAAACACAAAGAATACTTACAGAGAAAACATCTGAAGTTAATCAGTCTAATCAGGAAAATCTAATTCTTGTTCCGTGTAAGAATCAGCCGACCAACAACCGCTGATCACTGAAACTTTGAAACTTGCTATGCAAAATGTCAGATCTGCTTTGTAACAAGTCTTTTTTAATCAATAAATTTTATTTGTTCTTATAATCTAGATCTTATGTTCATGGCTGAAACATGGCTTGACCAAAATACAGAAAATGCAGTTTTAATAGAAGCATCACCACCAAATTTCAAATTTGAAAAAAATCCCTGAAATACGGGAAAACAAAAAAGGAGGAGGCTTAGCTGCCATTTTTAGAGACCACTTTGTCTCCCATAGAATGTCTCTTGGGAAGTTTCCTGTCTTTTGAATATGTGTCTTTAAAATACAACAAAAACAATCTCCTCCAATACTCTTCATAGTCCTATACAAGCCACCGCAGTCATGTCACAGTTTTATTGATAATTTTACAGAGTTGCTTTCAGTTGTATGGCACAGATTTTGATAGTTTAGGTTATTACAGGTGATTTTAATATTCAAAGTGGATAATGTTGATGACAGAAATGCAAAAGAGCTGAGTTCTTTACTTGAAATTTACCTTTGGTCTCACTCATGCATGTGAGTGGCCCCACCCACAGCAGAGGGCACACTCTAGACCTGTTAGTTACTAAGCTAAGGGGTTGAATTTTCAAAGGGCTGTAAACGTGGTCGAAGTTGCGCTTTCGGATCATTTTTGTGTGTATTTTTTGACATGTTTTCACTAACAAACCACCAGTGACTCTGCAACTGTACGAAGAAGACACATAAATGAAAATTACGGGTGAAACTATAGTATGGGAATGATAAACTTTGAGAATGCATCGTATTCTACTGTGAGATGAACTGTTTAACTCTGTCACCTCTATGTTTTTGAATGATCCTGGACATAACCATCGCATCCTGTGAAGGTTAAAACAGTGAAAAAATAAGCAGAAGGCGCCGTGGGCTAAAGCAGACTCGGTCAGGGCACAAAAGAGAGAGTGCCGGAGGGCCGAGCGAATGCGCAAGTTCCAACCTCCAGGTGATTACGAGATCTTCAAAGATAAGTTGTGCGAGTTTAACCAGGGGTGCTTACGTGTACGAAGAGAAAGGTATTTTTCTGAAATGATTGAAGGCTGCAGCAACAATCTGCGTGTTCTGTTTTCAACAGTTAATAGATTAACAAACCCCCCTGTTCAAATGCCATTAGAGCTAACTTCCAAACGTAAATGTAATGAGTTTGCACATTTTTTCAATGACAATGTTCAAGGCATCAAAAACGCCATTGTCTCCAATCCACAGATAACCATCCAACAGCCAAAAAGGCTCTTTGAGCTACACATACTTTGCACCTGTAAATGAATCAAACTTGTCCAAGAGATAATCTCCAGTTTGAGCTCCTCCACATGCAGCCTGGATGTACTACCCTAATCAGATCTAGATTTCTAAAGTCTGTTCTGAGCAGTCTGTACCTTCACTCACACAGATAGTAAACATGTCCCTTCATTCAGGAATATTCCCAAAGGCCCTGAAAACTGCAGTCATCAGGCCCCTGCTTAAAAAGAGCAGTCTGAGATGCTACGGTACTTAACAACTACCGTCCCATCTCAAATCTGCCATTTATGGGGAAAGTCCCCTTGAGAAAAGTTGTCTACCAAACAGCTAAATAGATTTTCTTATAAATCAACAACTCATTTGATATGTTTCAGTCCCCGGCTTTAGACCCCACCACAGCACTGAGACTGCTCTTGTCAAGGTTACAAACGATTATCCGGCAAACCACTGGACGCAGGCAAAGTCTCAATCCTAATCCTGTTAGATCTACGTGCTCTGCCTTTGACACTGTCGAACCATGAGGATCCGGTCTTACAGAGAACTAAGGAACTGGTTGGCGTCGCTGGCATACCGCCCTAAGTTGGTTTAGGATCTTACCTTGAAGACAGGAAGTATCTTTGAGGAGATTGAGAAACTGTGTCTCAGATCAATGGCCCTTAGACCTGTGGAGTACCACAGGGGTCCGATCCTAGGGACCTCTTCTGTTCAATCTCTACATGGCTGCCGTTAGTCAGTTAATACGCAGAAACAAAGTGTCCTATCATAACTATGCAGACGACACTCAGATCTATGTCTCACTGACTGCAGGAGAACATGGACCAGTGACTCACTCCTTCACTGTATCCAACAGATCAGTGAGTGGATCAAAACAACTTCCTTCAGCTAAACAACAGACAAAACTGAAATGATTGTCTTTGGTCCCCAGAAACAAAGAGAGAGCGTCATCTGTCACCTACAGTCTCTCTCCCTAAAACCTTCAAACAAGGTCAGAAATCTAGGGGTAATACTGGACTCAGACTTAAATTTTAATAGCCACATCAAATCAGTAACATCAGCAGCTTTTTACCATCTAAAAAACATTTCCAGGATCAAAAACATAGTGTCTAAAGCAGACTTGGAGATTCTTATCCATGCATTTGTCTCCAGTAGGTTAGACTACTGCAATGGCCTGCTCACAGGTCTGTCCAAACAGGCTGTAAAAACAGCTGCAGTACATTCAAAATGCAGCAGCTCGAGTCCTGACTAGAACCAGAAGTACGACCATATTAGTCCGGTCCTCAGGTCTCTGCACTGGCTTTCCTGTGGCTCAGAGAATAGACTTTAAAACAGCTTTGCTTGTGTACAAGTCTCTCCATGGCCTCGCACCAAAATATATTATGACATGTTAGTCCCATATGAACCAGCCCGGACTCTGAGGAGCACAGGGACGGGACTCCTGTTAGTGCCCAGAGTCAGAACTAAACATGGGAGGCTGCTTTTCAGAATTCATGCTGCTAAAATCTGGAACAATCTTCCTGAAGATGTGAGACAGGCCTCCTCTCTGACTATGTTTAAAACCAAGTTAAAAACTGTGCTGTTTAGCTGTGCATACAACTGAGGGATTTTATATTTTTTTTATCTTTCTTTTTAATGATCTGTGATTATTTATGATTTTAATGCTATCTTGTTCAGCACTATTGAATGCCTATGCCTTTGCCTTAACCGCCCTGATACAGCCGAAAACTTAACCATCCCTGATTTGTATTGCCTAAAACTTAACCATTCCTATGTTTAAAAACCAAATCATCAATATATAAAACCTACCCCAACCCGAAACATATATCCTAACCTTAACCACTTGGAGATAAACATCTAAAACATAACCAACCCTGTGCTTAATAAAGCAGAAACAAATCCACGAACACCATTGCTTCAAGAACATTTTATTAAAAGAGAAAAACATCACAGAGCAACTGTACTACAAACAATAAAACAGCAAATATAGATACATAAACTGCACGTAGGCCCCAGACAATGTCACAATGACATCATTGCATACCACCTGACGAAGGAGGCGCATTAGCGCAAGGAGGGGGCGTGCCCCATCATAAAAGCCAACTCCACCTGCTGCTCTCATCAGTCTGATGTGTGAGGCCTGAGGAAGGACGGACCTGGCCGTCGAAACGTTGCCGCTTAACACACAGACTATTTGAAAAAAAGAAAAAAAAGTGACTTACC